TTGTGCTATATTTTTATTTCTATTTAAATTACGATAATATTCGCATCCTTTATAGTTAGCTGGGTGATCTCCTCCACATAAAGCACATGTAGCTGGTGTGTTCTTGTTCTTTTTACAACTGCTTGTACTGTGCTGTCCTCCACATTTCACACAGACATATGGTCTATTGCAATATGTTTTTGAATGGCCATATAATTGACATCTCATACATTGGATGATATTTTTGTTTTTTATAGGTGGTTCAATTTGTATATTGCAGTGTTGTAGTTTCTGAATTTTATAAATATCTTGGTTATTGTCTGATGGTTCAAGGTCAACAAAGAACATATTTATCGGCTCTTTTGTAATCCTATGTTTAGCATTAATGATGTTTCTTACCTTGTGACCCAGTTTTGTCAGTTCTTCTTTGATGTCTTCTGTTGCATGTGAATAGTGAAGGTATTTAATTACGACTCTATAGGCCCTTTCTTCCTTTGGTTGATATGTGTGATGAATAATGTTGTTCTCTCTCATATATCTGGAGAATTTTCTGTATATTTCTGGATCGCTACAAATTATTTTGACTGTATTATTTGCCATAGTTCTGGTTTCGTATTGTTCAGCTTCAGCTATTTCTGTAAATTTTTTCCTCATTTCTGGGAAGTCGCTTACATCGTAAACAAATATTGGTGGTGGTTTAGGTATTCTTGGCGCTGTTTCATTTTGATTGGTTTCATTTTCTTGGGTATCCGTTAGGGTATTATATTTGTTCGATAGTGTAATGGTATCATCTTCTTTGTCTGTTTCTACATTTGATCTGATTTTTCTGCGTTTTGTAGTTTTAACTACTTGCCATGAGTTATTTGTTGACACATTTGCACTTTCTGGTTCGTCATCGCTTGTTGATGACATTCTGTAGTATTGCTGGCTATTTCTGTTATTTATATTGCTGTTGTGTGCCGCGTTTTGTTGATTTATATATTGTTCTTGATTGGGCGGAAATATCATATTCGTCGAAGAATTAGTGGTTGGTTGATTTATTTGCATATTGTACATACCTGGTATTTGTGATGAGATTTGTGGATAACCCTGTATATTGTTGATTTGTGATTGACCCTGTGTGTTGTTTGGAATCTGCATTTGTGGGTAACAATTCATTTGGTTTGATGGATACTGGATTGGTAATGGCTGGCTGTTTACATTTTGTATTTGTTGGCTAACTATGTAGTTGTCGAATCCTGGTCCATTTCCCGTTGGAAACATTATAAATAAATTACTGTATTGTTTTTAAATTTAATTTGATGAGTTTATTATTTTTAAGTCTATTACTAATTGATTGCTTTTTAATCACTTCACATTTATCTGTTCAAATCGAGAAAACCGGTCGAATGTTGATAACAGAGAACCATTTAACGTCCGCTCGGTATGGAGTATCGATGTGAACTGAGTGCTATAGGTGAAAACAATTTTTTGCCAAAATTTTGCAACTTTTCAACTTTTGAAAATCACCCTTTACAACATTGCAGTTTTTATAAACTAATTTATAAGATATAAATTGAAAAAAGTAGAATTAAATACAAAAAAAATTATCAACATAAAAAGGCACCATATATTCTTATACATTTACATAAATAGTTGAAAATATTTACATTTATAGGTAAGACAATTATAATATTAATTTTATTCGTCATCAATTACATCTTCATCGTGATCTAAGTCATCCTCATCTTCTTCAATTATTGGTGGACTGTTATTGCACCCTTCACCTGAGCACCCAGAACAAGTAGAGTTACAGTATAAACCAACTTTTCTGCACCCATATGAAACGCAGCATCTTTTTTTGCATTGGCAAAAAATAATTTTCAAAAATTTATCGGGTGCAGGTTGTTTGTTCATGCGTACGGGTAATAACAAACCATCTTTGGAATACCATCCCCAATCTGTTGCTCTGATATTTTCATTGCCAAGCCATAGACATATGAGCAGATGTTTTATTCTGTTGTATGGGATTTCAAAATAAGAACGCTTAAAATTTCGAATGTATAACGCCCCACTAGCTAATATACCGGTTTTGTAGATTATTATGCTCCGAAATGTACTGTACTATACTAAAAAAATTAACTGGTTTTTTTAACGTATTTCCTTTAATTTTTAACGATAGAGTGTTTCTTCAAAAACGATTTGTAGAGGTTTTTAATAGCTACAAGGATCTGTAAATTAAATCTTTTTGGAACCCTTGGTTTTTAAATGTGGTGAGTTTAAAGGGCTCAAAAAAGATGGTGCTTGATCGTAAATCGATGCTTTAAACGGATGTATCTCGCCAAATATTCATTGTACAACAAATCTAAATAAAGGATAATTTTAGTCATTAGAAAAGCTACAATTTGGTAATTTTTATTTTTTTCATATATTCAGTATTTTCGGGCATATTTAAAAAAAGAAGGGTAAAAAATATGAAATTGTAAATCGTTTCTCGCTTTAAGCTGTACTTTTTCTAAAATTAAGCCTAATAATAATCAGCCTCAAAACTACCGTCCGATTGCTTTGCTGAGCTGTGTTTATAAACTGTTGGAACGCTTAATCTACAACAGAATTAGTAGAAAAGTATTTGAATTGATACCTATTGAGCAAGCAGGATTCAGACCTAACCGCAGCTGCACAGATCAGATCCTATCCTTAACAACACATATTGAAGCTGGTTTTCAAAGAAAACAAAAAACATCCGTTGCTTTCATTGACCTATCAGCTGCATACGATACTGTCTGGAGACAAGGACTAATCTGCAAGCTAATCCGTGCCGTCCCGTGTCAAAAGGTAACTAAACTCATTGATAACATGCTCACCGACAGACCTTTTCAAGTCACAATAGACAATTCTAAAAGTTCCCAAATGAAGCTCAGCAATGGACTGCCACAGGGATCTGTTTTGGCACCCTTACTGTTCAATTTATATATCGCGGACCTACCTAGGACAACTTCGCAGAAATTTGGCTACGCTGACGATTGGGCAATTGCAGCAAGACATAATAACATGAATATCACAGAAACAATATTAGCGGATGACCTTGCCATTATGGGAGAATACTTTCGCAAATGGAGGCTACGGCCTAATGCAACGAAAACCGAAGTGTGCTGTTTCCATCTGAATAATGCCCAAGCCAACAAAAAACTCTCCATCCACTTCGAAAACAGACTGCTCACTCATAACTCAACACCAAAATATCTTGGAGTGACTCTGGACAGAACATTGAGTTTTAAAGAACATCTTCAAAGAACGACAGCAAAGTTGAAAACGAGAAATAATATAGTCCAAAAGCTATGTGGCACTACATGGGGGTCTTCAGCCTCCGTACTCAGATCATCCGCTCTCGGACTTGTATACTCGGTGGCTGAATATGCTTCCCCGGTATGGCTCAATAGCAAACACACAAAGATTATTGACACTCAATTAAACCAGACAGTGCGAATGATCTCAGGTACAATTAGACCCACACCGAACTATTGGCTTCCCATTCTAAGTCACATTCCACCGCCGAAACTGCGAAGAAGTCATTTTCTTCTCAGAGAATATCGAAAAATTGAGGCTAACCATCAACTACCTATACACCAAGATAAGCTTGATATCGAAATAAACAGACTGCGCTCCAGATATCCTCCATTGCTAAGAGCCAACTCTTTACATCAGGAACATTTCAACCTTACCAAAGCTTGGAGAACACAATGGGAGAGCGACTCACCACAGGAAGCACATCAAATGGCCTGTATCGATCAGAAACCGCCAGGCTTTGAACTGACCCGCAATACATGGACAACGCTAAACAGAATAAGAACAAGCAGCGGTAGATGTGCTGACAGCTTATATAGATGGGGAAAAGCCCTTACTCCTGAGTGTGACTGTGGTGCGCAACGACAGACCGTCCGTCACATTGTTGAAGAATGTCCCCGAAGGCGATTCCCTGGAGTTTTCGATGAGTTCCTGAATGCGACCGAAAATGTTTTACATTATATTAATAATACATTAGATGTTCGTTTGTAATACTTCATGTAACGTTTTTATATTGATTTTTTTAATTGTGTGTTCTTATTATATGCTATACGATAAATAAATAAATCTAAAATTAAGCATTTTAAATGGGTCAAACTTCTTGGACGTATTAACAATACATCTACAAAGGGAATTGCAGAAGGCTGAAGATCGATTTTAATTATGGGGGTGGTTAGTGTGTTGTTTTCCTCGATTTTTTCGTAAAAAATGAGGTATTGACCTTATTTTTTTTATGATAGGTCTATTTATGCTCTTTAAAAAAGGTTTTGTGAGTTTTCTTCCAAAAATGCATCATTTTCCCGATATTTGACTTTGAATCTTTCAAATTTGGCATTTGAAGAAATCCGCTGAACATTGATATTGTATTCGCCTTTTTAAAAGCTACAAATTTGTTCTCTACAATTTTTTTGATAAAATGCACCATTTTCGAGTTATTCGCGAAAAATCGATTAAAAACGTGGATTTTTTCGTCTAAAAGTTGTTACTTTCAATCGCGAATAACTTGAAAAATATCATTGAAACCTGTAGTTAAAACGTAAAAAAATTTTCACCCCGGAGATGGGGTGGCAACCACCCCCTAGGCTTTGGCGCACTTTGGTTCGATATAGATTTTGATCCTTAGGCTATTACCTACCTTCTGTTAAATTTCAAGTCAATCCATGCCGCACGAAAAAATTGCGAGGTGAAATGCTACAGGTAAATTTCCTGGACTATAACTGGTTTGACAGCATAATAAAATCGTAGATTTATGTGTAGCTTTCAATTTTTATGAGTTCAGAATCCAGCAACCCGTAGAAGTATGGGATTTTTTATAATATAATTATTTGACAATCTTTTGTTGGCCAACCAGCTACAGCAGAATTGAGCCGAAATACATTATATTCCTATGTTCCGAATTTATTTCGTTCAATCTGTATGTTACTAAGAACTATGTTTCTCTTGCTGTTTTTAACTAAATTCTTTAATTTTTTTTACAGAAATGAAGAGGCTAGTCAAGAAAAATGAGCAGGATGCATGGGACGGTAATCTTCGATCGTCTATGAATTGAAACAGTACCTTCTTTTGTTAAAATTGTGCCTTCACTCTTAATCGTTAGTAATTACCTATGTTAAAATAGTCAGTTGTATTGCATATATTGCATTTTAAAATATATATTTATTTTGTACCATGTATGTCTTGTCTTAAATAAAATAGTATTTTTATCGAATTAAAGGGTTATTTGTATCATTGTATTCATTTTAGAAGGTAGGTGTGCATATATAAAAGCGGTATTGGTACAAAATACTACCACAAGTTCTAAAACTAAAAGTTGTGTTATCTAGACGTACCGAGTCACGTACAACACTATTTTATTATAAACTGTCTAGACTCTAGAACTGGTTGGACTACACAATCATCTCAATATACAAACCGCCAAATATAGATTTTACGAGCGAAAAGGCCAACAACTTTACAAAGACAAAGTTAATTTTTATTATCGGAGACTTTAATAATCACAGCACTCTGTAAGGCTGCTACGCTTCGACGAAAATGGAGAATCTATCATAGGGTGGTATGAAATAAATATGCTAGAGCTAATCCATGATAACAAGTCTCCTTTAATAGTAGAAGACCACACAGAGAGTACAACCCTGATTTTTTTTCGTCAACCAACAAATAACACATCAGTGCTCAAAAGAAGTGGGACCACCGTTCCAAACACTTAACATAGACCAATGACGTACTGGATTAGGAAAGCCGTACAACAGGAAAGTCAAAGAGGCCAGTTCTAAAAAGCAGATTAGGAGAAATTCCAGAGCCATTGAATAAAGAGGTAATTAAGATTTGTTGAAATCTTAAAATAGAGTTCAAGACAATATATACCCAGAAGATGTAGATGCAAAAGTATCAAAGGTTTTACATGAGAGAATATGAGTTAAAGAAGTAAGTAACGATATTCGAATCCAATCCCTTCTCCGAGAACACGATTGAGGTTGGTCAATAACTAATGAATTTATATGTCGTCAGTAAGAGCCAGCCAACCATAAAACATGAAGACTTCAAATAGCTTTGCCTTGGCTTTTTTTCAAATTTCGTTATTCAGCTATATTGGCGTCAACTTTGGTCCGAGAGTCAAGCGAGTGGACATTTCTTACATAAAATTGACCGCTTGTTCTTCTGCCATGCTCAGAAATTTCCTACATCTAACGGTTCGTGAGAAAAATTTTCATTTGGAGGTCTATATTTGCTGAAAAAGTGGAGAATTTTAATTCGATTTTTTCTCTTTCCCGGAAAATTTGGGTTAGCGGATCAGACTAAGACACATTTTTGTAATAAGCTGGACCGAGTGCTTGTACCAAAACATAATTTTTTTTTTTTTCATAAAAATTTGGAAAAATTCATCCAAGGGGGTACCCTTGGATTTTTTTCAAATTTCGTTATTCTGCTATATTGGCGTCAATATTAGTCCAAGAGTCAAGCGAGTGGACATTTTTTACATAAAATTGACCGCTCGTTCTTCTGCTATGCTAAGAAATTTCCTGCATCTAACGGTTCGTGAGAAAAATTTTCATTTGGAGGTCTATATTTGCTGAAAAAGTGGAGAATTTTCAATTCGATTTTTTCTCTTTCCCGGCAAATTTGGGTTAGCGGATCAGACTAAGACACATTTTTGTAATAACCTGGACCGAGTGCTTGTACCAAAATATAAAAAAAATGTTTTTTTTTATAAAAATTTGGAAAAAGTCATCGAAGGGGGTACCCTTTAATTCTTTTCAAATTTCGTTATTCGGCTATATTGACGTCAATTTTGGTCCGAGAGTCAAGCGAGTGGACATTCCTTACATATAATTGATCGCTCGTTCTTCTGCTATGCTCAGAAATTTCCTGCATCTAACGGTTCGTGAGAAAAATTTTCATTTGGAGGTCTATATTTGCTGAAAAAGTGGAGAATTTTTAATTCGATTTTTTCTCTTTCCCGGCAAATTTGGGTTAGCGGATCAGACTAAGACACATTTTTGTAATAACCTGGACCGAGTGCTTGTACCAAAATATAAAAAAAGTTTTTTTTTTATAAAAATTTGGAAAAAGTTATCGAAGGGGGTACCCTTAGATTTTTTTCAAATTTCGTTATTCGGCTATATTGACGTCAATTTTGGTCCGAGAGTCACGCGAGTGGACATTTCTTACATAAAATTGACCGCCCGTTTTTCTGCTATGTTCAGAATTGTCCTACATCTAACGGTTCGTGAGAAAAATTTTCATTTGCAGGTCTATATTTGCTGAAAAGGTGCAGAATTTTTAATTCGATTTTTTAATTTAACAAATTTAGTCTGTGAGGATTAAGGTTGGATAGGATAGAGCAAATCTCTATAGGAGTTTGTAGTTTTGTTTTAACCAATTCTTTGTAGAGGTCAAAATGTGGAGAAACGTTTATTGGACACTCTAGGATAATATGATTCAGAGATCCAATTTGACCACATTCACAGTATGGGTTGTGCCGAATAAATATGCGGAATAAATGAACTAGAGTGGAACACTGTCCTGTTCTCATCCTAATTACTGTGGTGATATGCCTTCTGTCTTTATAAGGAAATAGATTGAACCATGGTGATTTGTTCCATTTATTGACTATTTTACTATAAAACCACCCTTTAGATCTGTTTGAATTCCATTTTTTTGTCCATTGCGTCCAAATTGGCTTTTTAATATAAAATAAGTAGTTTGAATAATGCAATTTGACTTTGGCTGGCATTTTTAGTGATCTTCCTATGTTTGCCAATTTGTCTGCAACACAATTGCCCTTAATATTCGAATGCCCTGGAGTCCATGCCAGAATAATACTGATGTTCTGTTGATTGGCTTCTATAATGCCCCTTTTGGTCATGATAGAGGTATATTCAGTTTCCATTTTGTAAGATGTTTTCCCTATCTTTTGGAGAGCACTCTTAGAATCAGACAAGATTAAGGCCCTCTTGATATCCTTCTCCAAGACAAATTGAACCGCATGATTAATTGCAATAATCTCTGCAGTGCAAACTTGAGCCTGCGTAGGGAGTTTACTAGAGTATAAGTATTCAAAGTCAGGACAAAAAACACCTAATCCTGCTGAGCCCTTACTATCAACTGACCCATCTGTAAAGATTATAGTGTGAACTAGATTGTCAAGTGAGATACTTTGAAATTGAAATAATGCTGCTCATTACCTTTATTAGATTGCACATTCCCAATAGGGATAGAAGTTAATTGATATTCTAATTCAAAATTGTGGCACGGGAAATAAGTCACTAGAAAATAAATTTGGGGTATGCTGGAATTTATTCATGATGAAAACTAAGAGGGGAATACTATTTTTATTCCAATAATTATGATTTGATTGCATTGATATCTATAATTGATTCAAGGCAGAAATTATTGGATTATTAATTAGCATAAGATTTATTAGGAGCAATTTAGAATTGTACTTGAGAGAAATTTAACCACTTTCACCTAACAATGCATGAATAGTGGTAGATCTCATACATCCTGTTATGATATTAATACTCTTATATTGTAATTTATCTAACCTGTTGATTAGCACCTTAGGACAATTTGATAATATTTGACATATATTTTGACATATATCCATAATCTAAATGACTCTGTATCAAACCATTATGAACTATCTGGACAGTTTCAGGATCACTACCCTAATAAGTTCCACATAGAGCTCTCATTACATTCAAGCTACGACTTACTTTTAATTCTATTAAATCCACATATGATTTCCACTTTAGGTTTTTTTGAATAACTACCCCTAAATATTTCACTGTATGCACCCATTTAATTGCATGACCTCCAATTATTACGTTCGGATGATTAACTTTACGATTCCCTTTTTGAAATATAATTGCTGGGGACTTACTGTAAGATAGATTAAAGTTGTGTTTCAATATCCAGAGATCCATCCTTTTCGTTAACAAGTTCAAAGAATTAATTAATTAATTTAAGTAGATCAGCCACACTAACCAAAATAACCAAATCATCTGCATACTGTATCAGATTACAACCGTTGGGAATATTATCATATAAAGATAGGGAATACAGATTAAATAACACTGGACATAGGTAAGCCCTGATTAGTTTTTCTTGAACCATGAATTTGGCCAGTTTTGTCCTTTACATAAATTCTACGATCATCAAATATAGAATAAATGACATTTGCTAGTTGAATAGGAATGTTACATTTAATTAGTTCGGGGTATAAAAGAGAGATTTTGACAGTATCATAAGCTGCTGAAATATCTAGGAAAAGCCCTACGGTAAATTGATTCATGAAAATCCTTGTAGTATTTTAGAATTTAGTAATGAAATGCATTCCATGCAACCTCTACCCCTTCTGAAACCGAGTTGCAATGGATTTAAAATATGATTGTGTTCCATGGCATAGAATGGGAATTTTAGGTGCCACATCTATCGAAGCCTGGTACGATGATAAGTCAACTACTGATTTGCTGCCACCAGGACGAACCAATCTTGTTGGAGCACCATCATTAAGAAAAATTAACCAAAGATCTTCTGCAGTTTGCAGAATATTTCTGCCATGAACACTATCTCTTGAGCTTCCCAATGCTCTATGATAAGTAGAGATTTGTTGATCGAGTTGGCCAAAGAAGACCAGCAAGTTTTGGAAATGAGATTGTACAAATTACAATACATATTTAATATATTTAAATTATACTTAGATAAAAAGGTGAGTTGAAATTGAACATCTGAATTAAAACTAGGATTGTTAATATAAATATCCCGAAAATCTATATTGTATTTTATAAGGGTAATTTAGCTCAAATATCCATCACCTCGATCCTTTCTGATAATGTGATACCCTCTGCGTCTAATTATGCGTTGATTAGATAGCCAAGACTCACTAATGAGGACAATATCAGGGTTATAGTCTTTAATAAGGAATTTTAAGTTATCAAAATTGGTATTATAAGATCTTATATTCCACTGTATCATAGTTGGGCGTGATGATTGAACATATAAAATGTTAAAAACGTGTGTACCAGCTCAAGACGAGAGGGGAATCAGTATTCTGAGTACTCAGACCCAGATATCTCCATTCTTTCTCGCTCCTGACTAATACTTATAGCATTATGTGACAGATTTTTGTTTTTATAATTTACCAATCTCTACATTTAATCCAACATGATCCTCAGGAGAACGATAATTTTTATTAATCAATTTACCAATG